TCTGGGCTTTGCTGCCACCTGGTGGACAGAATCTAGAAGTCAGGTTGTGATTGGGCCACATACTGGCATTTTGCTGAATGTTTCTTTCTGAACCTTCAGTGGAGGAAGTTTTTCTACCTGGGGGAAGTGAGTTTCAGAGTTCTTGTAGTCCTAAGTGTCACAGTCACAAAGCTCTTTTTTCTGTGGGTTTGATGCTCATACAAAGGTTTACGGAGGGGTGGGGGGGCTGCATGGGAGTCCTGGTCAGGCTCAGAATGTGATTCCAGAATGCCCGTGGCTCTCACACTGGCAGAGCAGGAACTCGAGTCTCAAGTTTTATAGAGGAATTCTGTTAAGAAGCTGGGGAGAGGGGGTGAGTGTGAGAGATAACCGAAGGACAAAAAGGTCACAGGTGTCTGGATATAGCAAGGCACGGGCAGGCTCTTTAGCCCATGTCCTTAAGGTAAGTGCCTAGGTCATTTGGCTCTGTCTACCAAGCAGGATAAAGGTCCCCACCCACCATTTTCTAGGATCGATTCTGAATGGTTCCCTGAACTGATCAAGAAGGGCCAGGATGATGCTAGATGTCTCTACTAGAGCCCTGAATATTTCTTCGCTGGGATCTTGAGACTCCTAATACCTAAGATGTGGGAACTGTGTGAGCTCCACGTTACAGATGAGTAGGTGGACACACAAGGAGACCTGGGATGGGGACAGATTTTGTACTGGGGTCTGACACTCCACAACAGTAAACATGTTTTAGAAGCAGTGTGATGTCCAAGTATGCCTTTGGACTCTCTCCTCCTAAAAGCTCCAATAGCGAATTAAGGCAGATCAGTCCTCCCTAAAAGCCCCCTCCCAAGCTACAGAGCTGGAGGTCTCCTTTTGAAAGCCTTCTAGGAAATACAAGGTTATTTGTTCTTTCCAGACTCCTGATTTAGTAATCATTGTTAGCATTGGCCTTGCCAGGAAGTTCTTCCTCCAGTCTAACCTCCGCACTTCCAGAGAGAAGAGGGGGGATGGAAGAGAAGGGCAGGGCAGAGATGGAGACAGAGTCAGAGAGAGGAGATTGAAGAACCAGGCTTCTATTTTAAGATAGGGTATTCTTATTCTCCAACCATGACACTCAGGGCTAGCCATCACAAGCCTCACTGGGATAGCTTAAATTATAGAGGACTATGTTAGAAAAATGAAAAGACAAAAAGCAAAAAACCCATCCAACTCCCAGCTGATACCTAGTTGGTAGCAGTGTGCATGCCTTGATGGGGCACCCTCGACCTCTCAAAGGTCAGGGCACCCCATTCGGCTAGAGGAGAAGGCCAAGGAGTTGGTGTTAGGCCAAGGCAATTATGCGGGGTGGGTTAGACCAGTCTGACTTTATCCTCCCTGCCTCCAGTGCAGTCATAGGAGTTGCCCCTTCTTGCCCAGCATCTCCCCTCCCCCAAACATGCAGAGGGAGGCAGAGGGAGTGATTAGCATGGGGCATTGTCCCCAGATAATGGGCCCCAGCTGCCTCCTGAAAGAAGAAGACAAAGCGCCTGGCGGCTCCACGCGCATTATCCCCTCGTTAAATCTCTGTTATTAGATTAGATTCAGAATGTATTGATTCGGAGGGTGGTGGGGAGGGAGGAGGGAGGAGGGAGGAGAATCTGGCTGGCGAACACTGGGCTGTACTTTCCCCCTCCATCAACCAGGAAAGTTTTTCCTCCGAGCTAGGCTGGGGAAACTCACTGTCTCCAGCACTGGCTGCTAAGCTCGGCTTCCCGGTGCCAGCTCTCCTGAAAGCTGCCAGGTGTCCACTCTAGGGCCTGCCTTTGAGGCCGTTGAGCGCAGATGGCCAACATCGGGAGCAAAAGCAGCTCCCCTCCTGGCAACCAGGGGCAATCTCTTAACAGCATCAGCTGCAGACTTGCGGAGCACCGAGGCTCACGGGTGTTGGGGGCGGGGGGGGGGGGGCTGCAGCGCATGCTCACTTATCTCTGGTGGAGGTTTGGGGGAGACTGATCCGAAGCAGGGTGGATGAGGATAGGCTGAGGAGCACTTGGGAGGTAAGATGAGTGGACGGGCATGGAGACCCACAGCCTATCTCTTTGCGTGAGACAGAATCAGATGCAATGGGGCCACGTAGACTAAAGCAGGCCCCGTAGAAGCTGGAGCGCGCTACAAGGTCTCAGTTCTTCACAGCTAACCGGAAGCAGGACAGGCTGGCTCTCTGCCTTCCTGCTACTGGTCTTCTTTACCTAGAGCTTGGCGCTCTCCTTTGTGGGTCTGAAGGATCAACACTCAGGGAGTGTCCGACTAACTGTCTTATTCCTACTTCAGTCTATTCCCTCCCCAGATGAGGACAACTCTGGGGTAGAAGCCATTGTTTTCTGACCACCTTGACTCCTCAAGGCAAAGACTTCTGGAAACCACCTCGCAGATGAGACAGTGATGGGTGGGAGTAGGCAGGTCCTTATCTAGACCAAGACCGATCAATTATTCATACCAAGAGGTATGAATCACTTGCCACAACCTTCCTTCCCTTAATCCTAAAGCGCGTGTCAGTACCCCAAACATGAACTTAGGCCATTGTACCCTTTTATCTAATTTATCCCAATATGGCTACGTCGGATAACTCTCTCAGCACCATTAAACTTCACCACCCTCTTACAACAGGATCTTACTGTCGTTGCAGGCTGGCCTGGATCTTGTTTTGTATGCCAGGCTGACCTTCAACTAACAGTAATCCTCATGCCTCAGCCTCACAAGTGCTGAGAGTAAAGGTGTAAACCACCATTCCTGGCTTTACTTTCTCTTTAGTTGGCATACTGGGGACTGGAGACCCAGCCTAGCCTATTTGGACTGCCTCAGCCTAAGGTTTGGTTGTGAAAGGGAGGGAGGAAGCAAGCGTCTGGAGGTGTCCCCAGACAGAGACACCTCTAGTTCAAGGGTAGCATTCATAACTAGAAGATGCTGCACTCCAGTACTGGGCCTCAGTTTCCTGTCCCGGGGAAGCACAGTCCATATGCCAGATCAATGTTCCTATTGGATGTGGCCGCTGGACCAGAAGATGTTACATGCGGCAGCTCATTCCTGAGGTGGTTAATTGGCCGCCTCAGTGCTGGGCTCTGTCACCCCATTGATTGTGAATGAAGGGTGAGAAAGGGGAGATGGGGAATCGATAGGCTGATGAGTGTCTTACTAGCTTTCTGTTTGAACACTTTGTCAATAGCCACCCACTTAATGGCCAGTGGAGCATTGACTGTCCATCTTTCTATCCTTGTGGCATGGGACATGAGACCCTTCTGATAGTGTGTGACTATGCCCAGCAGTCCTAGTAGGTGGGACAGCTTTTGGCTCTAAAACTAGGCTCCAAGTGAGGAACTGCAGGGCCTGTTCTGAACGAGGGTAACTGTCCCCACATGTTGCCCAATCTTGCTCAGCCAAAGGCAGCTGTGCGCCCTACACTCTCTGGTTTGCTAACAGACCCTGATCCCCACACAAACAAAACAAAAATAAGTGTGAAATTCTGAAGTTATCTCAAAAGTTCCTGTGTTTGGAGTAGAGTTGGCCATGAGACTTCAATCTCAGTGGAGAGCTAGTTCACTGGAGGAGCTAGCAGCTAGTACAGTGGGGAATCCTGGGACAAGAGGCAGCTAAGAAAAGATAAACCAGGGGAGCCCCTTCTTCAGCCTTAGAGTCTTTCAAAGCTGAGGCCCCAGGGTTCTGCCCTCTGCCCAGTCTCCCATATGGTTTATGAACTGAAACTGCAGAGTTCGAGGGTGTGAGAATGTATCGTTCCGAGTGATTGTACTGACTCTCTTATTGTTGGCTGTCCTGCAGTAGTTTAGAAGGCAATGGAATTGTTTGGTCTCATCTGAGACATTTCTAGTGGGGCCTGTCCCTTTAGCCTGGTCATTGTCTAGTCTTCCTCTACCATGCTTTATGTTGAGTGACAAACAACTCAAGACATGGAGAAGAATAAGATAGGAACAAGGTAAAGGGTCAGGGGAAACCTCTTCTATAAACTCTTGAGACTACGACGGAATATTCCTTTCCCTGGATGCCTGTTAGGTGGATGGAGTGGAGTTGGAGGTCTTCCTTTGCATTTCTTAAGCCCTGGCATCTAGGACCAGGATAGATTAAATGCAAGAGCATTTACCCAGCTCTGCCTTCCTCTGAGTCCTGCTTTTTGGTTAGGAGCCTCATGTGCTGACTAGTAAATGTTCTCAGAGAGTCAGTCAAAGCCTTACATTCTCAGTGTCTCCTAAACATGGAAAAAATTGTGGGTGCTAGCCGTGGTGCTGAAGTGTATCTTCCTTTCAGGGAGCACTTGCTCCCTGCTTCCGCTTAGAGACCTTAAGTCCAGAATAGTTGCCCCACATGGATCCTTCCAGTATTTTCCCAGTGGGTCACAGAAAGCCTTCCTCTCTCCTCTCATCTGATAAATACTCAACCTTGATCTTCAAACCGTGATCCACCTCCTATTTTGTCATGATGGCGACCATGCTGATGTCTAGTTTCCTGGTCCAGGAAGCACTAGTCAATGGAAACTACAGGTAACCCCATCCTCATACCTTTTTCCAAAGCTGAATACAAACGGTCACAGATAGAGAATAAGATACCATAGCATTTTATTATCCCCTGCCCACACTGGCAGATGAAGCTGAGTACTAGGAAAGTGCCCAGAGGTGACCTGAAGATGGAGCTATTAGGAGCTAGATAAAATAAATGCAGAATGAGAAGATTTGCTTTTCTTTGATCAAAAAAAATGTGTGGAAATGAGCAATTCCAGCGTCCGTAATCATAGAGGTACTGGAAAGGAAACCAGGGCTTGATGCCTTGATAAGTAAAGTTAGAAGGTGCGTGGTTTCTCTTGATCTAGAATATCAAGCATGATAGGGAAGTCAGGAAGGCAGACTAGGTCTTCAGCACTAAGTTTAGGGGACAAGGGGATTGGGGTTGCTCAGATGAATTGGTGTTGGAAACAAGATGCAGGACCTAAGGGGGAACTCCCCCATCCTTACCCTAACCAGCCCCATAACCTCTCCCTACCAGGCTGTGCCCACTCAAGAATAATGCCAAATGGACCAGAGCGTGACCAGGGTGATGCTGTAGGCCAGCACAGCCAGCAGGTAGATACGGAACAGCAGCTTGTCCAGCACATACCCCACTCGAAGCCAGTCCTTTGCCACCTCCCGCATCTCATCCCGCTTCTCCAGGAAGTGGCGGATGGAGGACAGCTCTTGCAAGAGACCACGCACAGCCAGTGAGGCCTCCCTTGGTGGTGGAAGAGGGCTACCTCTGCCCCTTGGGGTCTTCTCCAAGTCCTGAGGTCCTCCAACATGGCTGCAGTGGTTTCCCATGGCTGGAAGAACAGAACCTGAGTATGAAAGGAGGGTGGTGGGGTGCCCTGGCGTTATGGTGGTGGTGGTGGGGGGGGTGTTATGGAGCTCAGAAGTTGACTTTGGTGTCTGCCTCAGTTGCATGCTATCTTCTTTTTTTTTTTTCTCTCTCTCTCTTTCTGAGACAGGATCTTACTAGGTACTGCTGGCTGGTCTGAAACTTACTATGTAGACCAGGATGGCATCAAACTCATGGAGACATACCTGCCTGTGTCTCCCAAATCAAAGGTGTGTGCCACTACACACGGCTCCTCTGAACCCTTCTCCACCCATATCCTACCCTTAAGCTGATAAAGGGTTTGAAAAAAAAAAGGCAAAAGAGCCTGGCTGAACCTGGTTGTGCATGCCTTTAATTCCATCTCTGTGAAAGCCAGCTTGGTCTACATAGTGAGCTCCAGATCAGCCAGGGCAGACCCTGTCTTAAAAAAAAAAAATTTAAAAAAGGAGACAAGGTTCCAGTTTGACTGACTTCTCTGGCTGAAGCATCCTCCTGTTTCCATCCTGTACCCAGTTTCTACATCCCGTCCAGTATCCCTGCTCCAGACTCTGTATGAATCTGTCCCTATCCTCTCTCACCTGAGCAGTCATCAGTCTTGTTGGCTTGGAAGGTGGCTGGGGGCCTATGGGCCATGGGCTGCTCCCCAAGGTAGAGCAGCCGGGCTATTCTGTTTAGGACCAGGTGCCTCAACCAGTCAGGTACTGGCCGCTGTAGGTCCTGCTTATGCACCAGCCGCACAATGAAGATGGTCTCAGCGAGGCTTATCACCAACAGAGCCATGCACACTACAAAGTAGACACCTGAGCCGGAGAAAGAGACACACTAAGCATGGGAGGGAGCAGGGCAGGTCCCTGTCACAGTGAACTCTTCCCTAAGGGAGGCCTTACCAATGAGGGGAGTGCCGATGGCGGTTGCTGGCAGTGTGTCTGACACAATGATGAGAAAGACTGAGTATCCCAGAAGGAGCGTGATCTTGAAAGAGACTCTCTCACCACTGTCCGGGGGCAGACAGAAGCCCACAATATCCACGACCATGAGGAAGATACTGGGCAGTAAGAGGCTGACTGCGTAGAATAAAGGCCGCCGGCGAATGACCACCTGGGACCAGGATAAAAGTTTGGGGGATGTTGGGCGGACAGGAACCCAGGAACCACCACCCCATACCCAGCCCCTTCTCTTGTAGAACTTCCAGCCTGGACTGCTTGGGGAAGGAGAGTGACGGACCCATATTCTGCCTTTGACACCAGGCTTGTGGCAGTTGAGGATAAACAGGGGATGCTTCAGTTGAGTTCCCATCTCTCTTGCTGAAGTTGCATGGAATGTGTATGGTCCTGGAGTTGGCAAAGGGGGCTACTATGTCCTTCCCAGTTTGTCTCGTTATGCTACCCCAAGGTAGCATGTGGAAGTCTAAGCATTTTTGTCCCCACTTCATCCACAGCCATGTCCACTCACATAGAACTTCATTTCTGCATAGCTGTTACTGGTTTCTAGACTGAACTCCTGGAACTGGGTGAACACCCCCACCAGCTCCCACTCGCCCTGATTTTTGAAGATGCTTTTGTCCGACCTCACATCTTCTGGTGTTCGCCACAGGGAAATGTTGATGTCCTGGACTAAGAGA